CAGGCAGCCCAGGAAGGACACCAGGCTGGAAAAGTACATCACCCCGTTGGCGCTGCCCACGGCCGAAGTCAGGGGCCCCAGCACCAGCGAGACCAGAATCTGTGCCAGGAAGTACTGGCAGCTCAGCAGGGAGATGTCCACGCCCATGCCACGCCTGGTGCCGTCCGCGCTGGACCCTGCAAACTGACCCAGAGGGAGGAACGCGTCAGCGGCAACGGGCGGCTGACCCGGCCCGCGGCTCCCGCAGGCCCAGCCGCCCCGAGCGGCCCACGCACAGCGGGCTCGCATTTTTCAGGGCCGACGTGCACGGGGAGTTCAGCCAAGAGTTTAATAATATTTGTGTTCAGAGAGATGACAACAAGGCAAAGAATCCATGACTAATGGCGGCGGGAGGGCTGCGTTCTCACAGGCCCGCCACACAAGGCCCCGCCTGGAGCATTCCGGTCCTGTCCCCTCACACTCACTGAAAAGCCAGCCATCTGCTCGGCCAGCTGGCGCTCCGGGGTCTGGCCCATGCCCTTTCTTAACTTCTGTCACCTCCGATGCCTGTCACACACTCCGAAATACCCTTTCACGGTCCACAGAGGGACCTTGGGTTCCAGAGGCCCTCGTGCCCCCAGCCTGGACACGTCGCTCGGCCTCCCTGCCCACCCACCGCACCAGGCTGGGGGGCTCCGAGCAGAGCTGCAGGGAGGAGGCGGTGTGGGCCCCTCACTCTGCTCCGCGCATGGCCACCCTCCCCCGGCGGCCACTGATGCAGCAGGGCGACGCCAGCCCCACAGACTGCTGCGTGCGCACTGCCCAGGGGCCAGCATAGCCTGGCCCTGTGTCCAGACACAGATGTGGTCCCCTCTGGGACACTGCCGGATCCCCTCCCCGGAGAAGGCTGTGTCCTCGCAGGCACCTGCCAGGTGCTCTGTGGAAGGGCTACGTGTGCGTCCTGGGGAGCTGTGACACACACAGCCACGAGGCCCACAGGGGCGTCGCTGTGGCGGGGAGGGCACGGGTTAGCCCTGACCCAAAACTCGAGGAAGATAGAGAAACGTGAGCATCCAGAAGGCTCCACGGGCAACAGAGGCCTTCCAGTCAGCTCCGACCGAATGCCGTTGAGTGGCCTGTGGCCCCGGCGTCCCCTCCCCTGGGGCAGGGCAGTCCTTCTGCAAGAACCAGCACATCCGTTTAACCCAGCGAACGGGGCTCTGGGCTGCAGGGAACTGGCCAGGGGGACGGTGGCTGCAGAGGCAGGGACGGTGCCATTTGGCTAAGCCCTCTGGTCCCTTGAGTGCTGTTGGCGCACACGTGGCTGCCCCGACTGTGCCGGCTGGAGGCGCAGCGTGCGTGCACAGCTCCCCCTCAAGCAGTCACAGCCTCAGCCCTGCCCTGGGGGACAGTAAAGTCCACCTGGCCACTGCCTGTCCGTGAGGTGGGGTGTCCTGGGCCAGGAGGGGCTATCCGGCGACCACCCAGTGACATGCAGTCTGGCTCCGGGCTGATGTGACTTTTCACTCAGGGCCAGCCCGCTGAATTCATCAGAAACCCCAAACTCCTTCAAACAAATTAGGACACTTTCGAGGCAGGGCCCGGGGCAGGTGACAGCAGCCCAGAACCAAAGGGGGTGCGAGAAGCTCGGGTATCGAGGTGAACTTTTAACGCACTGCTTTAAAATCTGGACATTGCTGCGGAAACCTACGGCGGGAATGTTATTTCCCATAGAAAGGACGAAGCCCCAGTGCGCACTATGACACGGGCGGAGCCGAGAACGTGGTGCTGAGAGAGACAAGCCACACGAAAGGCCACACGTCACACGCGCCATCTACATGGAACGTCTGGAAGAGGCACGTCCATCAGGACAGGGAGGAGGTCAGTGGTTGCCCGGAGTGGGGGGGTGGGGGGGCGAAGGGGGACTGGGGAGGCGATGGCTAAGAGGTGTGGGGTTTCTTTTTGGGGTGAAAAAGAATTTCTAAAATTGATCGAGGTGACGGGTGCCCAGGTCTGCGAATTCACGAACCACCGCCGAACTGCGCACTCGAAATGGGCCGCGTGGCGAGTCACTTCTCCACACGGCTGAACGAGAGAGACACCGGGTTTGATGTAAAGAGAATCGACATTCTCGCTTTCTCCCTTTGCCTCGGGCTCCCCCGCGGCTCGGCGGGGCGCCGTTCCCTACCCTGTCGTCACCTGAAGTTCCCCGATTTCGGGCACCGATTCTCATTTTCGGAATCACTGCGCTGACCTACCTTGGATCGCGACGGCTGGGTTTTCTGTGCCCAACGTGATAGTTTCACTCGGCTCGCATGGGGGCCCGTGCTAAGAGGTGACCCCGAAGGCGGACAGAGGGGGACGCCAGGGGGTGGGCCTCCCCTTCCCGCCCCCCACCGGTGGCCCCGTTCCCCGTCTAAATGGGCCGTGACCCGCGGTCACCGCCTTGAGCGTCTCGGCGTTTGACCAGGGCCCCGGTCTGCCTTCCGCGCCAGCTCTCAGTGCGGTCGGGCCCGGGGCCTCGCCCGGGTGGAGGGTCTCGGGGGAGCGGGGCGCGTGGCTGGGTGTGCGGGGCGGAAGCCGGAGGGTCACGTACCGTCTTGCTCTGGTAGTAGTCGCACAGGGGTCTCGGGGGAGCGGGGCGCGTGGCTGGGTTTGCGGGGCGGAAGCCGGAGGCTCACGTACCGTCTTGCTCTGGTAGTAGTCGCACAGCAGCGAGTAGGGCAGGGTGCACAGGGTGGAGAACAGGATCCCGTAGGTGACGCAGAGGGACAGGACCACGTAGAGGTTCCTGGACAGAGTGGCGAGCCCGGTCCCCAGGCCAAAGGCCAGGTAGGCGATGAAGTACAGGGTGCGGATGCTCAGGTGTTCCTCCAGCTTCTCCAGAAGAGCTGCGGGCCGGACAGGGGTGAGGGTGCCACACGTCCAGTGCCCCCGGAACCCCGGCGCGCCTGGGCTGCCTCCCCAGGCTGACCCTAAGGCCGGCAAGGGGGGACTGGCATGGCAGGCAGCTTGCCCTGGAGCAGACGACCGTGCGGGGCCCCAAGGGGCTGAGGGCCTCCTGACGGCTCCAGTTGGGCCAGATGGACGGCAGGACCTGGGGCGGCCCTGTTCGCACCGGCCCGGCCAGGCCCCCGGGTGCTGCCGCCAGTGAAGGGGTCTTCAGGTTGAAATACCCAAGGCCAGAGAATGTGGGGTTTCCAGCCAGAGCCCCGTATCCCTGTGTGGATCACAGCGCTCTGTCACCCAGAACGAGGACACCAACAGCCCAGGGCCCTGCTGGCGTCCACAGCACCTCAGCACCTCAGCTGCACACGCTGCATCCTGAGTCAAGTAACGGGGCTACTTCCATGTGTCCTGGTGCCAGCGGCCGTGGGGAACCAGACACCCAGCTGCCACCCACGGGCTGACAAGCGAGAGTCAAGGACTCTTTCCTAGGGTGGCCTCTCAGTACCCTCCCCGCAAAGTCACATTCTGTACCCTGGTGGGGAACTCCCTAGATGGGAGCAGATACAATTAAATGAACCCGCAAACTACAGCTCAGGGAGCCAGCCCGGTGGCAGCCTGTGTTTGCACCCCTGGAGCTAGGAACGGTTCTTATATTTTAAAATGGTTTTTAAAAAAATCCGAAGATGACCCATATTTTGTGTCAAGTGAATAGTACATGGGATTCAAATTCCCTTGCATGTAAATGAGGTTTTGCTGGAATTCGGTCACACTCGTTCTGGTCCGTCTCGTCCCAGGCGCTGGCAGTGCCAAATCGTCCAGCACAGACCGACCGGCCCACAGAGCCCTAGAGTCTGCTCTCTGCCATTCACAGAAATCACGGGTGGAGCCCTGAACTGAGGTTTGCAGGTGGCACACTGCCAGCCGGGGTCCCCACTGGGTGGCTCCCCGGCACCTGCATGAATGCACACAGCTTCCTGTGTCCCCTGGGTCACCCAGGCACAGCCTGAGGGCCATCTCAGACTCTGGCCTTGGCCCACGCTGCAAGTCCACGATCCCAGTCCACCTGCCCCTCCCTCCCTCTGGACCAGCTGCCATGGGACCCACATGGGAAGGACGCAGGGGACTGATGGCCCCCACTTTGCCCTTGTCTACAGGCCTGACCCTCTCTGCCCACTGGCTTACTGGGGTCTGGACACACACCAACCCCCGCTCAGCACAGGCCAGTGCACCCCGCTGAACTCTAACCGGTTATCAAATGACTGAAAAACAGACAGCGCAGGCAGTGCCTGAGGTTGTAAAGACACCCCGCCTTCACTCCGCTTGCCCCAGCCGCCCGACTGAAGGCTGCCAGAACTCCAAGGAGGCGCCCGCCCCACATCCCATGTCCCGCATCCCACCCAGCATCCCGCACCCCACCGCCTCCCCCCCAGTATCCTGCACCCCACCATGTTCTGCCTAGCATCCCGTGCCCCACCCAGCATCCCATGTCCCATCCAGCATCCCATGTCCTGCCCAGCATCCTGCGCCTCTCTCAGCATCCTGTGCCCCACCGCATCCTGCCCAGCATCGTGCGCCCCACCGCGTCCTGCCCAGTATCCTGTACCCCACCATGTTCTGCCTAGCATCCGGTGCCCCACCCAGCATCCTATGTCCCGTCCAGCATCCCATATCCTGCCCAGCATCCTGCGCCTCTCTCAGCATCCTGCGTCCCACCGTGTCCTGCCCAGCATCGTGCGCCCCACCGCGTCCTGCCCAGCATTCTGCACCCCACCACGTCCTGCCCAGCATCCTGCACCCCACCGCCTCCCGCCCCATCCCAGTCCTGCCGGGGGCGGGTACCTGAGTAGAAGGCTGCGCTGAAGGCGTAGATGCACATCCCCCAGCAGCCCATGGTGACGCCGCTGTTGTATTTCTGATATTCCTCCGACGTGTGCGGGGCTTTGGGGTCTCCCTGAAACACCACCTCGCCCATGAAGTCCGTGTAGAAGAGCAGCATCCCCTCAAACGAGAGCCAGCCTGGGAGCGGAAAGTGCCGTGACCCTGGCGGCCCCTCTGGTCACCCGCAGCCAGTTTGCCCGACTCTCAAAGTGACACGTGATCTTCGGAGAGTCAGAACTTGAAGAAGGACTCGCCTGCAGCCGTCCCACCCAGAGGCCACTTACCCCGTCGACTCCGCAGGCCCCCTACCAGTCTTTCTAAGAGCAAATACATATCCTCGTGAACAGAGGCTTCAGTGAGGGAAGGTTGTGTGTCTTGTTTTTTCTCTGAGCGTTACTGACATGAGGAACGCCGACTCCACCCCCCGCTGCCTCTTTCTTAGAGAGGAGCACGCCAGGGAGGCCCCGGCCACCAGTCGAGGTGGGTGTGACAGTTAATTAAGAGAAATAAATTAGGAAGTGCGAATGTTGATACAGATCCGATCTGCTTTGTCACCGATTCATCTGCAGTGCCCTTCCTCTGAACTCTGTGACAATTTCCTCTTTGGTGGAGAGAGGGGGTGGTATGTATTGGCTCTCTCGAAACCCCAAAATGATGCACAACTTCCTATTCCATTCCATGAGGTGGTGACAGTTAATTAAGAGAAATAAATTAGGAAGTGCGAATGTTGATACAGATCCGATCTGCTTTGTCACCGATTCATCTGCAGTGCCCTTCCTCTGAACTCTGTGACAATTTCCTCTTTGGCGGAGAGAGGGGGTGGTATGTATTGGCTCTCTCGAAACCCCAAAATGATGCACAACTTCCTATTCCATTCCATGTTCTGAAACAGCCCGTTTCTGAGGCAGCAGAACCATTCACAGCGTGGACGTGCCGTGCGTACTTAGCCCTCCTCCCAGGGCGGGACGTGTGCGCCGTCCCCTGTCCCCCCTTTCGGCTATGATACATCATGCTGTGATAAATACCTCACACGTACATTCTCGATAAAACCTCTGCTTGTGTCCTTGCAAAGACACCAAGCAGAGACCCCTGGAGTAAAGGTTATGGGCACTTTTCAGACACCTGCCCATTGGCCAATTGCCTCTTAGAAAGCCATTCTGATCTACGCCCCACGATGCTGGAGAGCCCTGGACTATCTCAGGCTCTTAATCGTCCCCAGATGTCCGACAACCCAATGGCGAAGAGAAACTGCGTGGCGTGAAATGCAAGTCGGGCTCTTCCATGGCGATGTGAGTGCCCGGCCTTGGGAACCTCCGGCCAGCGTGGGACACACGCGGGCACATGCGGATGTCTGTGTGCGTCTACATCTCAGCTCTGCGTGGGGCCGAGGTTCCAGACACCAGTCCCACCAGTGGGAAAGTGACGCTGTCGCTTCATTATGAGCTGTCCGAACAGCCTTTGGGAACAGGGCTTTGGGTTCTGGAGACCCGGGTGTCTGGCCTCTCGTCCGAACACCTGGTTTTGTCCAGGGCTGCCTCACATGACCCGTCTTTGGGGACACCTGGAACCTCCTGGGGGGTAAGGCTCTGGGGCATCCAGGGAGGCTGACGGTGGGGCCAGGAAGCCCTGTCCCCCCCATGTGGCATTACCCAGGCTGGGACAGGGACACATGGGGAGGCTTTGCCAAGAGCTCACCCAGGAAGTGGTTGACACAGAGATTGCGCAGCATCTTGGGCATGTGGCAGATGGTGGCACAGAGGTGCCTCATGGACAGAGGCTGCCCCGGCGGCTCGCTGGAGCCCGTCAGCTCGCTCTCGTACTTCATGCCGTTCAGCAAGATGTTTGCCACCTGTAACAGAAGTCCCCAGAAGCCCCTGGTCAGAGCGCCGGACTCCGGCTGGCCCATGGCAGCACCCGCGCCGACACAGAGGCTGCAACGGTGTCGTCCTGGATGGAGTTAACCGAGTGCCCAGTGTCACCCCATGAAAAATGGCTTTAGATCGTCTCTTCAGAGACTCGGGGCCACTTACTGGAATTTTGCTGGGGGAGGGGCTGCATTTAGGCCCCAGGATGTGAGACCCAGGCCACAGGGAAGCAAGTTAATACCTTGCCGAAGGTGAAATGTGTTTGAAATAAAAGAAGCGGGGGTCAGATCGGACCCGGACTTCCTGAAGCCCCTCTCTGCCACCAGAGAGGGTGTGAAGGGCGGACTCCAAGCGGGAATCTGTGCACCCCTTCTCGGGACGAGGGGGACTCCCGACACAGAGTGTCCAGCGGCCACGTGAGCGAGCGCACAGGGACGGATGCGCTTACCCCACCCTCGGAGAGGGCCCCCGGGCACCCAGACACCCCACTGTCAACCGAAGCGAAGTGGACCGGCCCGGGGCTACAGGCGACATTCCCCCGGCAAACAGACTCCCTGACCGGTACTGAGAAGGCCTCAGGGCACAGTCACTGCTGGGCGAACCGATCCCGTGGAAGGTGGCTGTCCCCGGAGTAAGGGAGGCCGGGCCCTGCTCCAGAGGGCGTGGGGAGCGGGGCGGGGGACACTTATGCTGTTGTCAGCCCGCCGGGTATCCCGGTGGGCACAGGAAAAGGAAGGGAACAGCCCAGGCGCTGGTTCCCAGGGCGGCCATGCCTCGCGGCTTGTCACCCACACCGCTGGGGAGACAGCCAGGGTGACACCCGCCACCTCCTTAAGTTCAGAGGTGTTTATATTCAGCTCCAGAGTTTTCCTTTTCTCAAAGAACTGATTCAGAAATCACCATAGGTCAAGAATGGAAATTTTAAAGAGGATCAAAACGAGTTTGTCCACTGTTTAGATTTTCAATTGAAGACCTATGTCTAGAAGGCAGCTTGGGGGTTTTGAAACAGGATAGGGTGGCCCAGCGTGGACAAGATGCCGAGGCGCTGCACTGGCGTCATCGAGAGTGAGGGTGACGGTGCCTTTGACTCGGCACCTGGAGGGACCGCCTCGCTGGTGACTTTCCTAAGCCCCCAGCGATCTGCGGTTCCCCAGCCCCGCTGGACCGCAGCTCACGAGAGGCCACAGGCAGCCGCCATGCCTCCCACAGGGACGGGCGCCACCTTCCCGGAGATGAGAGGACAAGCATGCTGAAGGGGTGACGAGAACAGCGCTGGAACCGACCGGCCACCGCGCCCTGAGACACACGGCCGTGCTCGAGAATTTCACGATGAGGAGAGAATGAACAGCCCCCTCGAAATGCCTCCGGTCAACCTCCCACGGAATCAGGGGGTCTTCCTGGGCACAGAGAGGGGACACCTGCCGGGGGACGCACCGCCCCGGGGCCTCGGGGTCAGGGCAGTTCGGTGGGGCTACTGCGGTGACCTGAAGGGGCGAACAGACTTCCCTTTCGTGACAGCGGCTGCTCGTGATCTCAGACTCCAAAAACTGCTTGTGGCCTTTCAGCCAACCCCAGGGACACGCCATGCAGCACGAGCAGCCTTCCAGAAGGTTCTCGGCCTTCACAGATCATGGCACTCACTGCCCTTTATCATCCAGAGTCCTGACAGCCTCGGGCCGGGGGGCTAAGGTTAGAGCTGGCGGGGGGATGGGGGCCCGGGAACACCCCCGGGGCTGCATTTTGTTCTGTCTCAGGAAGACTTGGATATGTTGGCACCCGATTCCCTCGGCCGAATGGGCCGTGGACTTTGCGGGGTTGCCAGTGCTGGAAACGACCGAAATGCACACAGTGCTTGTGACAGACTCACCAGCGGAAAACCCAGCGGAGTTCAAAAGAACCTCCGCTTCACCTGTGGCCAGAGTGAGGGCACAGGTGTGTCCGAGGCTGGTCTCCTCACAGCGAGTCCCTCTGCCACCCCGCACGCCGGGCGTTTTTCCCAAGCCGACTATCCCTCCTCGCCGTCTAACCGACTGGGGAAGGAGGGGGGCTCTGCGCGGTGCCCTCTGACCTCCGCCCCCATTTGTTTTTACCTGTTGACTGAAGGTCACGGTCCTTCTCCTGCCCATGTCGGGACCATTTCCTCCCGTCGCATCCGGGAGAGCCAGGGTCTGGGGCCTCTTCAGGATTCCGGCTGCTCGCGGCTTGGAGGTGTCCAGGGAGCCCACCCTCAGGACGTCCCCGTCACCGCCGGCTGCGGTGGCCCCCTCCCGCCTCTCGCCAAGGCCGCGGTCCTGATGGTAGAAGCCGTCAGGCGCCCGGGGGAAGCTGACGCTGATGGCCGGCTTCGGGACGCTGCTCGGGATGGCCAGGTTGTGGTCGTGGCTGCCCGTGAAGCAGTCGATGAGGACGCTGTCGGTGTTGGCCAAGGCGAAGGACGAGGCGAAGGCACTGAGCCCCGTGGGGGAGCCGTCCCCGCTGACGAAGCTGCCGTACTTGGGCGTGAGGGGGCTGAGCGGTGACACGGGGCTGGAGAAGCTGGCGTACAGGCCGGGGTCGCTGCGGCAGGGGAGGGCGTCCGCCTGGGCACCCTCCTGGTGGCCCACGACGGGCGGGGAGGGTGGCAGCGGGAGGCTGGGGCTCTTCATGGCCGGCCGCTTCTCCCCCGGGGGCCGCAGGGGTCTCTCGGGGATGCTGACCAGGGTCAGGATGGTGGTGACGCTCAGGGTGACTGCGGCGAAGATGTAAACGACCCGCAGCTGCCCGCCCAGGGCGGTCCCGAAGCTGGTTCTATCCCAGTGGATTCCCCCGACCACGTAACCGAAGCCCCCTCCGAGACCTGGGGAGAGAGCAGGGTCAAAAGGGAGGGGGCCCCGTCCTCACGAGGGGCCTAGGTGTGCTGTCTGTCCCGGTGAACCCCCAAACTGAGAGCGAGAAGGGGCTTCTCAGGGGCCCCTGGGGACTCACCCTGTCCCCTCGAGGGCTGCCCTCTGGGGCCTGGATCCCGAGCAGGTAGCGTGGTGACCCCCGCCCAGCCTTCTAGGAATACCTAGGGTGACCGTCCACACCGGGTCACGTGTCCACATTAGGTGGAGTCCCCCCACCCCCAGCTCCAGCGCCACGCAAACACGGAGGTCGCATCTGCAACGCGCATGCGCGCGGGAACGCCCGCGGCCGCCCGGCCCTGCTCGCCCGATGACATATCAACTACGACCACCACGGTGGCCAAAGGCGGCGCGCCCTGCCGGTCAGCAGTCTGGGCCATCCGGCCCCCGGGCCGCGGCAGGGCTG